GCGGCGCAGCTCCGGGCCGACTCAGCTACCTTACCCGAGAAGGGCGGCGGCGCAGGCGCGGGCAGTCACCCTCCTCCGGGCTCCCGGCCAGTCCAAAGCTGAGCCCGCGACGGAACCGCCTTCCCGGGCTGGCGCGCGGAGAAGAGCGCCGGGCAGAGCCGAGGTTGCTGCGAGCTGCGGTGACTCTTCGGGGACCTCTTCTGCTTTACTAGGCCTCCGCCCCACGTCCCTGATGAGCGCCGCGGCTCCGGGCCTTCCTGGGCACAGCTGCAGCCCTGCGCAGGAGCGGAGAGCCGGCTGGGAGCGAAAGCGCCACAGGAGAGCCGAGGAGCTGCTCCAGAGCGAAGGGAAATACCTGGAGCAGCTCGAAGGAGTGGCTACGGTGAGGATGCGCCGGGCGCGTGGCCGCAGGCCGGGGGGGGGGGGGGGGGCCGGGGGGGGGGGGGGGGGCCGGGGGGGGGGGGGGGGGCCGGGGGGGGGGGGGGGGGCCGGGGGGGGGGGGGGGGGCCGGGGGGGGGGGGGGGGGCCGGGGGGGGGGGGCGGAACCCTCCCGCGCCACTTTCTGCGGGGCCGCTGGGCTGCGGGGCCTTACCACCCGGAGCCACGCTCGAGCTAGCCTGCTAACTAGGCGTCTGGGGGTAAGCGCGTGGTGCAACCATGGTGCGGGGAAGGATATGTCAAGACGCCTCTACCCACCCAGGGAGATCAGGGAGGAGAGAGGCCTTGCTGAGGGCGCACCCCGAGTGAGCGCCCCGTGTTTAGGGACCTCTCCTTTGGAACAGCGGACCCGCAGGTTTCCAAGCCACACTTCCGAACTGCATTTTCCGGGAGCTGTTAAACATGCCTCCTCAGAGAAACAGTAGGGGATGAGTAAGACCACACTACCCCAAAAGGGTGAGTGGACATTGATTATAATTGAGTTAATTGATACTTGTTTTTAATCTTTATTAAAACTGGAAATGGAGTCTCTGGAAATGAAGTAACATGTAAGTTGCACAAGTAAATAAATGCATTTATGTCTAATACAGTACAAGTTTACTTCCACTTATGTAAGGCAACTGAAAACAGCAGTTTACTGAAATGTTTAAAACAGAAAATAAAGCAACAGGAAGAAACTGTAATAGCAGCAGTATCTTTCTCTCTCTCTTTCACATGCACTCCCCCCTTACTTTGAAAGGTCCAAAAATATTCCTGCTGGAAAGAGCAGGAGCCTACAGCGGGGGCCACCCCCATGTTTCAGAGGGGATCCTTTTAGAGTGGAGGGTGGAGGTGACAGAGCAGTCCAGGAGCTGGCCCAAATCCTGAACAATGTTCACTGGACTTATGTTGGTTAGGCGATATTCTATCTGAAGAGATACATTACAGAAGGGAGACAAAGGGAGGTATGTACCAACAACATTCACTCTACCTCTCTATTTTTGCAAGCCATCTTTGTCTCTACCACTTCATGCATTTTTTTTTTTTTTTGGTACTTTAAACTTCTCAGTTCATTCTTTTTCAGGACCTCTTCAATTCCACCCACCTATGACATTCTCAGTGTTCTCCTTCCTTTTGAAACATTCACTCTTTTTTCATATACAGTGGTACCTTGGGATACGAACGCCTCTACTAACGAACTTTTCGGGTTACGACCA